GGTAAAGAATCTGCCTGCAATGCCGGAGACCCCGGTTCAATTCCTGGGTCAGGAAGATCTCCTGGAGAAGGGATAGGCTACCCACTCCAGTATTCTCAGGCTTCCCTTGTGGCTCAGATGGTAAAGAATCTGCCTGTAATGTGGGAGACCAGGAGTGATCCTGGGGTTGGGAAGATCCCCTGGAAGAGGGCATGCTTCAGTATTCTTGCCTGGAGAATCTCATGGACAGAGAAGCCTAGCAGGCTACAGTTCATAGACTTGCAAAACGTCGGGCATGGCTGAAGCAACTGATCGTGCATGCACAGTGTTCATGGCTAGCCTACCAAGGGGGACCTCTGAGGCTGTGGTAGCCCACCTGGTTGTTCGTTGCCACACCAAGGTCTGGTTTCTGACTAGACCACATCTCTGCCCCTCATATACATCTTGATATGGCCTTTTATTTATATCCTTAGTTGTATAGAACCTGTTCTGCTAGTCTTTGGTCTGTTTTCAGAGATAGTTGTCTTATATACAGTTGTAGTTTTGGTGTGTTCATGGGTGGAGGTGAGTTCAGGAACTTCCTACTCCACCATCTTGATCTGGAACCAAGAATGGGTGATATTTTAAAGTATTAGATTTTGTGATTCACTTTGAATCCTAGTTTCACATTGTATTGCTATAAATTTGGAAATTTGTTAAAATCCTTCAAGCCTTGGGTTTTTGTGCTGTATGATTTTAATATCCTCCTCACTGGGCTTTTGTAAAAATTAAATAATCTGACACAGGTAAAGAACTCAGAACAATAATTTACACATAAAATGAGCACACAATAAATGTTATCTTTATATAATATTTGCAACATATTACATAGCAAGGAACTCCTGAAAAGCAACAAAAATGAAAAATTGATAGCAAGATGGATAAAGGGTATTGTCCCTGACTCACAAAGGGCGCTCGGTAAAAGTTAGGTTCATTCCCCTTTCCCATTCATTATCTACCATGTGTTATCAAGATGGAATTGAAGTCACTGGTGCTTCTGTCATGTCCAGTGCTGTGGCATATGTGGAAGCTGCCACTATGGTTGGGGGATTGGGGGCCCAAGTCATGGATGCCTCTACAGCTGGAGGGATGGGGTCACAGACCTCACTGTTGATGCTCATTTACTTTGGCTCTGAGTGCCACTGTGGCTGGGAAGTCAGAGTCATGGGCACCACCTGCTACTATTGGGTTCTCTGGGGCTTTGTTATCACCTGCTGTGGCCAGGGCGCAAGGGGTATGCTGGGATTGTAGGCACCATTTCTGCTGTTCCTCAATTTTGCCTCCTTTATGGGTTCCAGTTCACCCTCTTTAACATGAAAAGATGAGTGAAATTCTCTGACATGTTGGTGTGTTTGGCAGAGGCACCTTGTTGACCTGTGGGTGTTTCACTGGTTATAAATTGAAGGGGAAAGAAACAAGGAGTATCTCACTCTGCCATGATGCTAATGTGATTCCCATTCCTTAACTCATATTACCAATTTTCTTTTCATCATATACACCAAAGAGTATTTCCAAGATAATTTCCAAAATGAAAAAGTGAATTTATACCCTTGTCCTAAGAAATGAACGGACATTGAATAGCCACTGAAATCCTACTGCTGTCTATGATTCTGAAACAAAGGGACAAAAACAGTAAAGAAAATAGAAAGAACGAAAAAAACCAAATGGAACTAAAGAAAAGAATTCCCCAAGCTTACCTCATCATGTTGTATGTGTGAAAACCATTCTGTTTCTTCTTACAGCAATTCTTCTCGGTACCCAGGAGACATTCTCCCCTAGGATTTTCTTGTGTAGAAATATATGACCCATAAAAAGGCAGGGAAATTTTCAGAAAGGGAAGAAAAGACTTCTCAAAATAAAGAGCTTATACTACAATCTCAGCAAGAACCATCCTTTCAAATATTTTTCTATTGTGTATTATCATTAGGAGGGTCAAGTTAAAAAGCTTTCTTACCTATGAATCTAAATACCCAATCAGGTAAGAGAATAAAATAGAAGACCGGCTGGGAAGTTGCCCATATTTTCTATTTCTTAGTAAGTGATCTGTCTGCTTGCTAGTATGAAAATTAAACACCCAGCGTTAAGAGCTGACTTCCTGTCTTACGATGGACTCCTCATTGTGTTTGTGGATTATGAAGGCACTTACTTCTCACAGCTGTATTGCCATGTCACATTCCTCATTCAATGCTCCTGCTTCTCTAGACATTCTTCAAACTGAATCTTTAATGTCTAAATATTGACATAGTGAAAGAAATAATTTAAAAAGAGGAATCTAATTGTTAATTTTCTTTAGAAATTAGGAAAGGTGTGTGTGTGTGTGTGTGTGTGTGTGTGTGTGTTGTGTTTTGTTTTGTTTATTCCCAGAATAATTTTTGATAATATTTTTCAGGTTGGTCAGAAAACCAAGATGATATTTGGCATATCATTTTTATTTTAAACAGTGATGATAAAATTATTTAAATAAGCAAAATATACATGCTGTCAAAAAAAACTACTGAGTTATTTGAAATAACCCTTTTTGAAGATGTGTAGAGATCAGATAATTTTCTCAATTTTTCTTTCAGAGATAAACCTAAAACTCTATGATTTCCTTCAAAGTGTTTTCCAGTCCGTTCACTTTTTTACTCTAGTCAAATCATTTTCTTTTGCCTTCAGTTATTTCTCAAAATTGAACTATCCACCTCTCCAATATCTGCATCTCTATACAAATTTCCTTACAGCTCTTACTTTTTTCTCAGTGCCTTCATATCTATAAGTTTTCTACCCACCTTTGCTTCTTCCCTTACAATATGCAAGGGCTAAATCATAACATCAGCAAATAAAAGGAACAAAGAGGAAGCAAATTTATGTAATTATATCTGCTTTTGTCAGGGTACCTGAAGGAAAACAATATACTTTGTAAATAATAGAGGAAAAAAGGATTCAAAAGGTTTCCTGCCTTTCAGTAAATAGGGCAAATTTAGTCAAATATCAAACTTCATTACAGCTAATTTCCTTACAATTCCTTAAGAGTTTTAGCCTTCACTAAAGAAAAGGCTTCAGTCCCACCAATGAAATTAATGTATTCCTGTAGTAGAAAATAAGAATTTTATTTAATAGAAGAGTCAAAAGAGAAAACACAATTTTCAAGTGAGAGAAATTTGTGACAATTTGGGAAAGAGTTGATATAAAGCAAATAGACTTGGCCAGTGACACAGTGACAGAACTGTTAAGGGAAGCACACTGACTGAAACCGCCCACCCTGGCCAGACACCATTGTAACCATTTGCATGAGTTGTTTTACACCAGGAGGTCCTGGTAAGGAACACGAAACTAATAAGCCTCCACCAACTGGAAGAGTTCAGGAAAGGTCAAAAGGAGACACCACATATCCAACCATCTCCCAGAATCCTTCTCACTGGCATCCATCTTGGCTGAACAAGGTGTGCACCACCAGGAAGGACTTTGAATCAGAATGATTTGCTAAAGACAACCCAGAAACTAATCCCATCACCATAAAACCAAGACTGAGCCAATATGGCAGAGCTGTTCTCCTGGGTTCCCTGACCCTACTGCTCTCCACCCTGGTCCCCTTTCCCAATAAAATCTCTTGCTTTGTCAGCAGATGTGTCTTCTCAGACAATTTATTTCCGAGTGTTAGACAAGAGCCCAGTTTTGGGCCCTGGAAGGGGTTCCCCTTCCTGCAACAGAACTAGAAGTGAAGAAGGTAAATCGCACTTGGGCTAGAATATTTCTTAATATTTGAAGAGCAAATTTATTGAAGACAAAATGAAAATGGAACTTCAGAAAGCAAATCATTCAGAAAACATAAGATTTTAAGAGGGTTGAACTCATACATACAACAAAGATAGGTCAGTGTAAGGTAAAATAAGGAACTAGTGAGCTCATTTGAGGAAGCATTTTTCTTATCCAGGGATTTGGCAATTTGGAAAATGAAAAAGAGTCCCAGGGCAACTAGACAGAAGAAGCATAATAATATTTGGCATCAAAGTATTAACTTGGGGATCCTGTTTTGAGAAAATTTATATTTACATATAAATTTATATTTTCTCAGATTGTAGGGAAAAACTAAGCTCACCATCACATAAAGCAGTAATAAAATTTCAAATATACCTCTGGCTATTGTCTGATTAATGTGGTTTTATTTCTCAGCTGGGACTTCCTTGGTACTCACCTGGTGAAGAATCTGCCTGCAATGCAGGAGAACCCGGTTCAATTCCTGGGTTGGGAAGATCCCCTGGAGGAGGGCATGGCAACCCACTCCAGTATTCTTGCCTGGAGAATCCCCATGGACACAGGAGCATGGCGGGCTACAGTCCATGGGGTCACAAAGAGTCGGACACGACTGAGCGACTAAGTACAGCACAGCACATTTCTTATCCCAGTAAGGTTTTATGACTTTTCAAAGTGTGAGGGTCGGAAAGAGATCAGTATAAGAACACCACTAGCTCCACTAACATTCTAAGAGGAGGAAAAGTTATTACTATTATTTGAAAGAACATTTTGGTTTTTTAAAAAAGAATTTGTAGTTGTAATGTTTTCATTTCTGTCAACTGTTTTAAATTTAAAATACTTAAGATAGCTTATTAGGTATAGAGACAGCAGTGTGGTGAAATACTTAAGAAGTTGCTTCTTATTAGAGTTAACTTAGGAAGATAAAAGAAAAGTTGTACAAGAATGTAGAAGTTCACAACCAGAGAACATAGCAGGCTGCAATGTACTCTGAATTACTGGGAGAACAAAAACACTAATAACAAATCTTGTAAAGAAAATAAATGTTTGACTTATAGACCATAAGTGATAGGTGGCCTTAGTATTTAATAATCTAATAGTCCAAATATGGCACCACCTCTGATTTGGGATTGTATAGAACAGCAACACTATTCCTTAAAACATATTTGTCTCAGCAGGAAATCCTGGGCTGGAAGGACTGGTTCTCATTAAAGTTTGTCTTCCTCTATTATCTTGTCTTTTTTTTAAAGTGATGCTGAACCAAACTTCAATCACTGAATTTCTTCTCTTGGGAATGACAGACATCCAGGAACTGCAGTCTTTTCTCTTTGTTATTATTCTTATAATTTACTTTGTCAGTGTGACTGGAAATGGAGCCATCCTGATAGTCGTCATCTCTGATCCAAGACTCCATTCTCCTATGTATTTTTTCCTGGGAAACCTGTCATGTCTAGATATCTGCTTCTCCACGGTGACTCTACCAAAGATGCTGGAGAACTTCCTCTCTACACACAAAGCAATTTCTTTCTTAGGATGCATAAGTCAGCTTCATTTCTTCCACTTCCTGGGCAGCACAGAAGTCATGTTGTTGGCTGTGATGGCCTTTGATCGCTTTGTAGCTATCTGCAAACCACTTCATTACACTGTTATCATGAATCATCAGGTCTGTATCCAGATGGCTGTCACTGTCTGGATCATTGGTTTTTTCCATGCCCTGCTGCACTCAGTGATGACATCTCGCATAAACTTCTGTGGTTCCAACCACATCCATCACTTCTTCTGTGATGTTAAGCCATTGCTCAAGCTGGCCTGTGGGGACACTGACCTCAATGAGTGGCTACTTCATACTGTCACAGAGACCATTGCCATGGGCTCATTCTTTCTAACGCTTCTCTCCTATTTCTACATTATTGTCTATCTTTTCCTCAAGACTCATTCTTGCAGCATGCTTCATAAAGCACTGTCTACTTGTGCCTCTCACTTCATGTTGGTTGTTCTCTTATTTGGTCCTGTTTTTTTCATTTACATTCGTCCTGCCTCAGGTAGCTCCATGGACCAGGACCGGACTGTTGCCATTATGTACAGCGTGGTCACTCCTGCACTAAATCCACTGATCTATACTTTGAGGAACAAGGAAGTGAAGGGGGCCTTGAAGAGGGTGATAAGAAGGAGGCCCTGATTTGCAAGTAGGACACGACTGAAGTGACTTAGCAGCAGCAGAGAACTCTTAGAGGCATAAATAAACAAGCAATGGGACAGTTGAGATGTGAAATAATACTGCTACTCAAAATTGCTTGCCATATATATTACTTTGCCAACAAAGGTCCGTCTAGTCAAAGCTATGGTTTTTCCAGCAGTCATGAATGGATGTGAGAGTTGGACCATAAAGAAAGCTGAGCACTGAAGAATTGATGCTTTTGAACTGTGGTATTGGAGAAGACTCTTGAGGGCCCCTTGGACTGCAAGGAGATCAAACCAGTCAATCCTAAAGGAATATTCATTGAATATTCATTGTAAGGACCAATGCTGAAGCTGAAACTCCAATACTTTGGCCACCTGATGCAAAGAACTGACTTATTGGAAAAGACCTTGATGCTGGGAAAGATTGAAGGCAGGAGGAGAAGGGGATGACAGAGAATGAGATGGTTGGATGGTATCACTGACTCTATGGACGTGAGTTTGAGCAAGCTTCGGGAGTTGGTGACGGACAGGGAAGCCTGGTGTGTTGCAGTCCATGTGGTCACAAAGAGTTGGATACTACTGAGCGACTGAACTGAACTGATACATTTACATAACAAAGGGAATAGTATAAAGGAAAAATAACTGCGAAAGTCTAGTCTAGGGCTCAACAATACATTCTTAGGTAATAGAAAGTAAATTTGAGCAAATGAAATACTAGCCATGGAAGTCTAATGCTGAATTTGTTTTTGATATATTAGTTGATAAAATTGATTTGTTATATATTGTAATAAGCTCTTCTCTGAATTTAGTTATATAAATATGCCTCTATTGCCCATGTAGTGTGTAGATAGGTTGTTTTTAGGCCTATCTGTATGATCCCTCCACATTAGCACATTTTAATGTGAGAAGTAAAATTATGACGCTTTCAGATTTTGAAGATTTTAATTTAGGAGCATAATTACTCAGTTAGAAAAGTAAATGTTAGCTCATATGATAGAAGAAGGGCAATTTTTAAGAGGTAGTCATGATTTCTTGTTATCCAAGCAAAGAAGCAAAATAATAATGAAAGAAAATGACATCGTAATCATGAGTTACAATGAAGCTGAAATTCCAATACTTTGGCTACCTGATGCCAAAAGCTGACTCATTTGAAAAGACCCTGATGCTGGGAAAGTGTGAAGGTGGGAAGAGAAAGGGAAGACAGACAATGAGATGATTGGATGGTATCACCGACTCAATGGACATGAGTTTGGGTAAACTCCAGGAGTTGGTGATGGACAGGGAGGCCTGGTGTGCTGCAGTCCATGGGGTTGCAAAGAGTTGGACATGACAGAGTGACTGAACTGAACTGAATCAGGAATTAACAGAAAACAAACAATGGTTCATCTAAGGAGTTTGGGAACCACTATTTTCAGGGATTTTCAGAAGGCATTGGCCAAACAGTCAAGGATTACTGAGAAATATTATTAAAAATGGAGGCAGGTTGAAAAAGCATCTCAAGAATATCTTTTCCTTATTTGTGGCTTATTTTTTCCCTCAACTTCTGGTCATGGAAAATGTTGATTTATAGAATTTTTCCCCTTTTTTGTTTTGTTTTCCTACTTTATTTCAACAAACTGTAATGCAATATAATGTAATACAGGAAAAATAGTAAGAATAAACAAAATTAGTTTTCTTTCCCTTGTACTCATGTTCAGTCACAACTCTTCGCTACTCCATGGACTGTAGGCCACCAGGCTCCTCTGTCCATGGGATTTTCCAGGCAAAATACTAGAGTGGGTTTCCATTCCTCCTCCTTCTTCCCCTTACTTGGCCACAACTTTATACCAAGTAAAAGCAATGAGGCCATAATTTCTGAGATGTTTCTGCAGCTAATAGTAAAGACGCAGTATGTTCCTTGGTGTCTCAGTACCTAGAAGTGGCTGTTGGCCCAACGATAGGGTATCAGCAATTATAACTATTTAGATACACACACGGGGCCTCCCAGTTCAGTGGGTAAACAACCTGCCTGCAATGCAGGAGATGCCAGAGGCGTGGATTCAATTCCTGGGTCAGGAAGATCCCCTGGAGGAGGGCACGGCAACCCACTCCAGTATTGTTGCCTGGAGAATCCCATGGACAGAGGAGCTTGGCAGGCTATAGTCCATAGGTTACAAAGAGTCATACACGACTGAAGCGATTGAGCATAGATATACACAAAGGCAAGACTATAAAAGTTATTTTAAACTGTTGGATTGACCATTCAAAGCTCCTGCTTTTACTTTTGCATACCCGAATTAACTTGGTTCTGATCTCGTGCTTATAATACTTCTATCTTCCTGCTCAGTCTTCTTTAACCCATCAATTCAGGTCTATAGATGAGAGAAGGCATTTGTGGATAAGGTATATTCCAACTCGAACTATCTCAGACTAGCTTTTTGGTCAATTGTAATTTGTTCTATAATCCAGTCTGAATGGAGGTTATGTACTACAGAACAATAGAGCTCTGATTTTATATTGCTGCATAAAACAAGAGGAACTAAAGAGCCTCTTGATGAAAGTGAAAGAAGAGAGTGAAAAAGTTGGCTCAAAACTCAACATTCAAAAAACTAAGATCATGGCATCTAGTCCCCCCAGTGCATAGCAAATAGATGGGGAAACAGTGAGACACTTTATTTTTGGGGGGCTCCAAAATCACTGCAGATGGTGACTGCACCCATGAAATTAAAAGACATTTGTTCCTTGGAAGATCAGCTATGACCAACCTAGATAGCATAATAAAAAACAGAGACATTACTCTGCCAACAAAGGTCTGTCTAGTCAAAGCTATGGTTTTTCTAGTAGTCATCTATGGATGTGAGAGTTGGACTATAAAGAAAGCTGAGCGCCAAAGAATTGATGCTTTTGAACTGTGGTGTTGGAGAAGACTCTGGAGAGTCCCTTGGACTGCAAGGAGATCCAACCAGTCAGTCCTAAAGGAAATCAGTCTGAATATTCGTTGGAAGGACTGATGCTAAAGCTGTAGCTCCAATACTTTGGCCACCTGATGTGAAGAACTGACTCACTGTAAAAGACCCTGATGCTGGTAAAGATTGAAGGCAGGAAGAGAAGGGGCTGACAGAGGATGAGATGGTTGGATGACATCACTGACTCAATGGACATGAGTTTGAGTAGGCTCTGGCAGTTGGAGATGGACAGGGAAGCCTGGCATGTTGCAGTCCATGGGATAGCAAAGATTCAGACATGACCTAGCAACAGAACTGACTGATAACACACTATTACTCTAAAATTTACTGGTTTAAAACCACTTGTTTCATTAAATTGCATTATTCCATGGGCCAGAAAACAGCAAGAGTTGACTCTGCTAAAGAAAGTCTGGGGCCTCTTGGTTAAATTAACCTGAACAGTTGGTCATGGAATAGCTAGGACCTGATAAAATTTTTCCCTGTGTTTCTCCCTCCAGTTCCTCGTTGTAACAGGTGGACATGGAGTAGCTGGGAACTGATAAAATCTTTCCCTTTTGTTTCTCTCTTCCTCCACTTGCTCCTTGTCACTACCCTGTACTTCCTCAGCAAGGATAATGCAGGGACACAGGGGGCCAACAGACTAAGGCAAAAGCTATTAGTCATTGAAAGAAAAAACCCATAACTAGAATTAACATCACTTCTATCATATTCTATTAGTTTAAGAAGTCACAGACCAACCTCATATTTCTTCATAGAGAGAGGGAATAAATCCTACCTCTCAAGGGAAAGAGTGTCAAAGAATTGTGGCCATCAGTCCCATCTCTAACTGTTGTGGAAACCAGTACTCGAGAAACCAAGCACCACACTTAGAGAGTTGGAGAACTCAGGTTTATTTCACCGGTGGGCCCAGAGGAGTTAACACTCCAAGCTCTGAGCCCCAAACAAAGGGGTTACAGAGTTTTTTATACACTACAGGCATGATTAAGTGGGTTTGTGGGTTTGCAGGGGCTAGAGTGATTGCAAAGAGCAGGACAAGAGTGAGTGAGATAAACTCCTCTTCCTACTATTGTGAGTCCCCGCTTTCTGAGACCTATGTGACTAGACTTTGCAAGGAGCAAACTGGGTTACAGAGGCAGAAGGAGCAGGAGGCTATGTAAAATTTTAGCTTTTCCTCTTCATTCCCCCCTCTTGATGCTTCTGTCACTTGTAGAAAGCATCATCTCATGTTTTGGTAGGACATTCAGAGCTCCCCATCATTTAGGGGGCTATACTGAGAGATTACCATTTGTAACTTTATGAATTCAACCTGAGAGGTTATGAACTGGCAATTACATTGAGAATACAACGGCCAAACGAGAGCGCCACAAAGAGCATGAAGAGAGGACCTGTTAAAGGGAGAAGCCACGATGCCCAGCTCCAGATATTGTTCTAACTACCCCAGGAATTAGCTAGTTTCTCTCTCCTTTTCATGATTTGTTCCCTTAGCTGTTGGGCCATGTCCCTGACTATTTCTGATTGGTTTACATAAAAACAGCATTCTTCATTTCATTTAAGAAGAGACAGAGTCCTCTCTTTTCAGCTGTCAGTAGGTCTAGCCCTCTCCTGTTCTGTAAAACCACCTCAGCCAGGAAGTCTAGTTGGTCCTGTAATGAAGAGCACGGCAATAATACCGATTAAGGGTAGAGGCCAGTGTTGACAATGAAAATC